TCGGTATTGTAATATTTTTTGATAAAGTTAATGGCTTAGTTGGAATACGAGATGCTAGTTGTGTTGCTGGTGGATAAATGCGGAGCGATTCCATAATTATTGCTGTTATGTATTTTAAATCCTATTATTTTTTTTAAACCATTATTAATAGTATTCGATTAATAGTATTTGATTATTAAAATATTGGGTAATCACATTTGATATATATAAATAGAAAATACCTTAAGATTTTCAAAAGTTGGTAATTTTGAAGCACTTCCTAAAACCTTAATTGCTTCTTCTCTAGCTTTTTTTTGGATATTCTAAAAAAAGACAAGTGTAATAAATATTTATATTTTTATCAAATAAGATCGAATTCAATATTATAAAAATTAAATTTACAGGGTATTTTGCTAAATAATAAAAAGCAATACTTAATGAAATTGAAGAAGCTGTATAAATAAAAGAAACAGATTAAGTTATGATATTTATATTTCATAGTAAATGTGACAGTTGACTGAAATTTTAGCTTAAATTTTTTTAATTAAGTTAGGATTTAGGGTTATTGATAAAAAAATATATGTGTAAGTGGGAATAGAATTTAAGGATTTGAACTCTTTTAATTAGATTGGAATGTTTGGGTAAAATTTATATAAATCTATGCCCAACCTCTAAGATTCCAAATCTTATTCGCACTTACGACATACACAAATTTTAGTGAATTTCAGTATAAATAGTCACAATAAATGATTAAAAATTTAATACTTGCTGTCATTTCCGGCAGTAAAGTAAAAAACTATATCATCTCAAAGTTCTTTATTCGTATAATTGTATTTTTCATGGCTAGCAGCTTCTAAGATTCCAGTTAATAAATCAGTATGTTCCTCATCATATTCAGTTTTAGACATTTCAAGTTTTCGTTGTTCAATCATTTTAAATAGAAAATCATCAAACTCTTTAATTAATAAAAAGAATTCAACATTTTTTTTAAGAGGAATCGACTTCAAAAATGAGAATAATACAAAAGGTGAAGATGTAGCACGAAAAATTTGACCATATATTTTTAAAAAATATGGTTGTTCCTCCAAGTTATCCAATGCCTTTGTTTGAATAAAGATTTGTTTTTTCTATTAGTTAAAACAATAAATTTTTAATGAGATTCTATTTTAACTGATTAAAGCTATTCAAACTATTATTACACTATTCACTGTGGCATATTGTGTGTAGGGTTGGGAAAAATACCATACCGTATAATAACATTGGTTAATATACCGTATAATATCCGTTATTATACCATTAACTTTTGGTATAATTGGTATAATATAGATAAACCAATAAAATTTGGTTAATACTATGACTACAGAGTTATGACCTGTGAAATTTTGATTTTTAAATCATATGTTATTATACTGTTATTATACGTTATTATACCGTATAATAAGCAGTTATTCGACATTTCATAT